CTTGACCCCCTTCAGTCTGGATTCCGCGCTGGTCACTCTGTCGAAACTGCTGTGACCAAAGTATCCAATGATTTAATTGCTGCTAAATCTCGTGGCCAATACTCTATCCTAATCCTCCTTGATCTTTCTGCCGCCTTTGACACTGATGATCATCAACAGCTTCTTCACATTATCCGTAATTTTGGTCTACGGGATACTGCTCTCTCCTGGTGCTCCTCCTACCTCTCCCAGCGCTCTTTCAGTGTTTCTTTCTCTGGCTCTGCCTCTTCTCCCCAACCCCTCTCTGTCGGTGTCCCCCAAGGGTCTGTCCTCGGCCCCCCACTGTTCTCTATCTATATTGCCTCCCTTGGTAAACTCATCAGCTCCTTTGGCATCCAATACCATTTATATGCAGATGACACGCAAATCTACCTGTCCTCCCCTGATCTCTCTTTGCCCACCTTGACTTGTGTTTCTGACTGCCTCTCTGCTATTTCCAACTGGATGGCTGCTCACTTCCTTAAACTCAACCTGTCCAAAACAGAACTTCTAGTTTTTCCTCCCTCAAGTGCTGCTACTCCTGTGTCTGTCTCCATCCAAGTCAACGGCGCTACTATCACCTCTACCTCCCAGGCTCACTGCCTAGGGGTTCTTTTTGATTCTGATCTCTCTTTTACTCCCCATGTTCAATCCATAGCCAAATATTGTCACTTCCAACTCAAGAACATAGCGCGCATCTGCCCATATCTAACGCCGGACGCGGCCAAGGTACTGGTTCATGCTGTTCTCTCTCACCTTGACTATTGCAATCCCCTTCTCACTGGTCTTACATGTTCCCAGCTTGCACCGCTGCAATCTATAATGAATACGGCTGCGAGGCTTATTTTCCTGTCCGGTCGCACCTCCACGCTCTGTCAGTCCCTGCATTGGCTTCCAGTTAGATATAAGGCCCAATTCAAAATTCTGGCGCTTGCTTACAAATCCCTACATAATGCTGCTCCAACATACCTATCCTCCCTCATACACAAGTATGTCCTGTCGAGACCCCTGCGCTCAGCCCAAGACCTACACCTATCCTCTGCCCGGATCCCCACCTCTGATGCTCGCCTTCAAGACTTCTCCAGGGCTGCACCTATTCTGTGGAACTCCCTTCCCCCCTCAATCAGACTTTCACCCAGCCTCCATTCCTTCAAAAAATCTTTGAAAACTCACTTCTTTATTAAAGCATATCAATTAAACTGTCAGCAGGTTTCTCATCCCCCACCCCATGACTCCGTTCCTGCAGCTGTCAAAAATGACCTACCAAGCACTCAATAAACCCTTCTGTAACAAACTATTTAATTCCCCTACTTTAACCCTTTGTGTCACTATACCCCACTCCCTCTAGCATGTAAGTTCATCGAGCAGGGTCCTCAACCCCCTCTGTTCCTGTACGTCAGTGGTCTGATCTCAATTATGTGTCTGTTAGTCCACCCATTGTACAGCGCTACAGCGAATTTGTTGGCGCTATATAAATAATATAATAATAATAATATACACACAGACTGCTAAATACGCAGTCTGTATGTGTGTGTGTGAGGGTGCAGTGTGTGTGCATAGGGTATATATATATGTATAGATATTGTTTTATATACGGTCCACACCCACTTGAAACGTTTCATTGATTAAGACAGCCGAAAGAAATCTCTGCTCCCAGAGATGTTATAGTGCGGTTTGCAAACTATTACCTCAAAGATATAACTATGAAAGAAATGAGGAATAAAACCCTCAGAGATGGGATCTATAAGGATATTATTTTCTTCACAGATCTTTCGAAAGCTGCTGTAACAGCAAGAAGGCACTTTCAAGAAGTAACGTCTGTATTAAGGCAAACATTTATGGATTTAATACAAGCAAAGGATCAAATGACTAAATGGGGCCCCAACACATCATTTCCAAACTTACTTACTCGCTTAAACGATTTGCATTTTTTTTTTTTCCTTTTCCCTCCTTCACAAGTTTTAAGTTAAAAAGTAAGTTGCACATATGATAAAAGGATAAGAGATGGAGATATGGTTATTATAGTCAGCACGTTATCAGCCAAACATTAGTATCGCAATTTGCACTACGACTAGACACAATCAAGTATAAAGAGATTATCACAAGTTGTTCATAAACTTACACAAGATTCAGTAAAAGGGTCTTAATGATTTCATAGATTAAACATGATAAATATCGAACACTATTTAAAATTTACTCCAAACACTTTAAAATCTCTTATAAAAACACTTGAAACAAATCAAACACGTCTGTCCATGGGGACACTGTAAACGGCTGGTTTAATATGCAGATCAGAGCGCTCTCCTCAATGATCCATCTGTTCTCAAGGCACATGCAAAGAATATGAAGAAGAGGAAGCCAAATAATGGTAAGAAGTTTAACATTTATTGAAAAACATACAGGATTATTCACTGAAATGAGAATTCAAAGTGAATACAGAGTAACGTGAACTGGAAACAATCTCTCAGTTATTTATGCTTTTGGTTCAACTTCTTAGTCTTTAAATTTTCAATTTGAATCCACCTTGAATTCTCACTTTGTGAGTAACCCTCATAAAGTCCCTACATGTAGGTATTTAAACTGACTCAGTATCATTCAGTACTCCACTCCAACTCCTCGTAGCTAATTTACAAGCCCACGGCTACGCCCGCCCTGGTTGACGCGTTTTGCCCATGCAGGGTTTCCTCTGATCGAAGTTAACACGTATTTCTTTCCTCCATATAGACATCCTAAATGAGGAATTCCCACCTCAAAATTTGTGGAGGATTCGTAAAATAAATGACCAAAATGCTAGCATGAACTAAAAAAGAATAAACGCCAGGCTCTAGGGGGGTGGAAGGGGTTAAACTTACCTCTTTCTCCTACGCCGGGCGGGGGACTCTCCTCCTCCTCTCCTCCTCCTCACTGTGTGTGTGTGGGTGCTGTATGTGTGTGTGGGTGGGTGCTGTATGTGTGTGAGGGTGCTGTATGTGTGTGTGTGCTGTATGTGTGTGTGGGTGCTGTATGTGTGTGTTGTATGTGTGAAGGTGATGTATGTGTGTGCTGTGTGTGTGTGTGTATGTGTGTGTGGGTGCTGTATGTGTGTATGTGTTGTATGTGTGTGGGTGCTGTATGTGTGTGCTATATGTGTGTAGGTGCTGTGTGGGTGTGTGTGCTGTATGTGTGTATGTGTGCTGTATGTGTGTGGGGGTGGAAGTGGGGATACATTACTTAATATCCCACCTCCCTTCTTACCTTATGTAGGGAGGGGGGATTGTGCTGCTGTTTTCCCTGGTGGTCCAGTGGAGAGTGTTAGTGGAGAGGGCTAGAGTTCACTCTCGCGAGATCTGAGCCTTGCCGTGGCAACGCTCAGAACTCGCGAGAGGAACCTGGCGGAGCTGCTGGTTGAGCTCCCCGGGTCCTCTCCTGCCTCCCTCCATGCTGCTGTGGTGAGAAAGGCTTAGAGCAGAGCCGGCGCTCGGATAGCGCCGGCTCTGCATGAGCTGACAGGGGAGATCCTGAGATCTCCCCTGCCGGTCTCACTTCATAGGCGTGCCGCTGGGATTAGGGTGTGCCCAGGCACACTCGGCACACCCCATGCGCACGCCTATGCTAAACAGCTCTTTAGGACTGAAAGGGACACTCCAGGCACCCAGACCACTTCTGCCCATTCTGCCAACTCCCACTCCCTTAACACTGCAAGTGTAATTATTGCAGTTTTCATAAACTGCAATAATTACCTTGCAGGGTTAACTCTTCCGTGTTTATAGCACATGAAAAGTGTGCTATAACATCGCTGGACATCCTCACGCTATGTGAGAACCTCCAGCATCGCTGAAATCCCCATAAGAAAGCATTGAAAGCATTTTTCAATTCTTTCCTATGGGGAGGTCTAATGCGCTCAATAGTTCTCCCCAACCAGATGACGTTGGCGGGGGAGGAGCGTGGGTGGACTCTGACATAGCGCCGAGAGACATCAGCGCTGGATACAGGTAAGTCACTGAAGGGGTTTTATCCCCTTCAGCAACATGGGATGGGGGGGTGGGAGGGAGAGGGGACCTGCAGTGCAAGGAAAACTGTTTGTTTTCCTGGCCCTGGAGCGTCCCTTGAAGTGTCAGGGATACACATTTGCATTATTGACACTACAGTGTCCCTTTAAGGGGTTTAAATAAGCAAAAACTCAGTGATGCATCAGTGAACACCGTTAATTTTCCTATAATAACAATGCAGAAATCACTAACCAATATTAAGATAGAGGCAGGAATAAAGCTAAATTTGTATTTGTGCATTGCTTGTAATTTCAAACCAATGGTACAAAATCACGTTTAATAGTAAGCAAAGTTAGAATCTCTCTTTTCATGTCTAAATACCCACATTTCAAAAAAGCAATATTGCAGTAATTCTTGTAGAGCCTTAGTTAGAACAATCATAAAAAATTGCTTGAGATAAATAGACATTTAGGCCACTTGGGTTTAATAAAAACAAATTACAATATATATATTTATTTATTTTTATTTATTAAATGATAAAAAGGCTAAATGAATGAATAAATAAAGATACATCATAGATACTATGAATGGCTGCTCTAGGACCAATCATTGGATGAGTGCCAATATCTGACCAAATGCAAAGGTTCATATAGCAGTCAGTCTGTGAGCATGGACAGATGCTTTGGGGGTTAATTCACTAAAATCAAACATGTAGTAAATTGCAAGTCAAATGGCAGAATTCTGGCCAAAGTGTGTCTATATTTGAGATAGAGATATTTTTCAGATCAGATTCATTACTATTTGGTGTTTAGTAAATAAACAATTTAATCTCACCTCACTGACATCACACACTCACTATGCTGGGAGGATATAAAGAGATCTATTTATATGGGAGAGAAGTGATCAGTGAGGCTGAAATAACACAGCCAGCATCCTCCTTGTATTTGCATATTTCACTATTCCAGCTGTCAGGGTATATAAGTTTCCTTGTACAGGAGAAATCTTATAGTCTGTATGTGACAATTCACAGCCACAAAGATGGTCCCTCTCAGTTACCTGCTGTGTGTGATTATGCTTTATATTCAGGGTAACAATGGATTCTCATTACACGTTTTATTTCTATCAATGTGTGCTTTGTTTTCATTATGTGCTTAATATATAATTAGTGAATTGTTAATAATTACTATTCCTTTTCAATCCCTCAGGATCCTGTGGACAGATTGTGATGACTCAGACTCCAGAGTCAGTTACTGTGTCACCAGGAGAAACTGCCACCATGACATGTACATCTAGTGCTGGTATAGGCAGCGCACTAGCCTGGTACCAACAGAAACCAGGACAACCTCCAAATCTTCTTATCTATGGTGCAAGCAGGAGACAGACTGGGATCCCAGCCCGGTTCAGTGGCAGTGGGTCTGGAACCAGTTTCACTTTAACAATCAGTGGAATGTTAGCAGAAGATGCAGCAGATTATTACTGTCAGCAGAGTTACAGCTTCCCTCTCACAGTGATACAGAGCCGTACAAAAACCTTCCTCTTTTATCTCTACTAATGCTGTGCAGAAAGGAAACTGCTTATAACATCTCTAGTAAAATGTGCATTTTAATCCCCAATAGGCAATAATAATAATTTAGAGGTAATTACATATTTTGCATTTACACACATTATTCTCATCAGGCAGATTTATTTGAATCAATCTGTGTTCAATTTTTTAATATGTTTAATGTATACTTAGAAAATTACAGAAAACTAATGTGTATTTTGTTTTCACTATATGTTTAATATATGATTAGGAAATCATTAGTATAAACCAGTGGTGCCCAAAAGGTAGATCCCCAGATATTGTAGAACTACAACTCCCATGATGCTTTGTATGCATTTAGAATGTAGCCCATGGAACAGCATAGCTAAGGGAGTGGGTCTTGACATAGCCAGGAGGTAGCCATAGCAACCAGTTTAAATTAAGTGACAGTTGGTGAGTTAGGGGCGGGGTTTTATGAGGAGTATGTGTAGTGGCCATTTTATGAAGTGGCCATTTTAACCAAAGCTAATCTTACCTGTTAGTTGTCCCTCCCACCATCCCATTTGTTGATAGTTGATGTGTTTGCCGTTTCATTCACAGCAGCAGAGAATGGCCAGGTTAACCCCTTAAGGACGGTGGGCGCGCTATGCCATCCTTGGTGACCTGGCTCTAAACGCCGGTGGGCGGCGTTGCACGTCCACGCCGTCCAATGTACTTAACTGGTCACCGGCAATCGCAATGGGGGGACTTACCTGCCATCCCAAGGAGTCCCCCTGCTGCCGTTCAGGCCCTCCTGTGACATGTGATCGCGAGATCCTTGCGGAATAGCCGTCCATAGCAGAGCCAGCAGGGGGGAGCCTGGAATGACAAGTACTCCCCCTGCTGCCTGAAAAATAAATAAAAACAGTTTAAATGAGTTTGAAATAAAAGTATATATACATATTTATATATATATATATATATTTATATATTATATATATGATCTAAGTATATATATATATATATATACACATACACATACAGTTGCAAGAAAAAGTATGTGAACCCTTTGGAATGATATGGATTTCTGCACAAATTGGTCATAAAATGTGATCTGATCATCATCTAAGTCACAACAATAGACAATCACAGTCTGCTTAAACTAATAACACATAGAATGAAATGTTGCCATGTTTTATTGAACACACCATGTAAACCTTCACAGTGCAGGTGGAAAAAGTATGTGAACCCCTAGACTAATAACATCTCCAAGAGCTAATTGGAGTGAAATGTCAGTCAACTGGAGTCCAATCAATGAGATGAGATTGGAGGTGTTGCTTACAGTTTTTATTGAACACACCAAGTAAACATTCACAATGCAGGTGGAAAAAGTATGTGAACCTGTTGTAGAATTATTAGGCCTCTATAAATCTGTAAGGCCCCTTTAAATCCTCTTGCTATACCTCTAAGAGGCCCCCATAGTTTTACAAGAAAGCCTTGTCTATAGAACATAGAATTTGCATGTTAGCAAGAAATAGCTTTGATAAAATGTGTATTTACTAAAAGCCTTGAAACCTAGCTTTGAGAAACTAACAAGTGCCAGTTACGCTCTAAATGGATAGCTGCCAAAAGGCCCCTCCCGTCGAGTGAGCTCCTCATGTTAGCAAAATGGCGCTAAAACCTGGAGGAGTTAAAAATGACGTGGATAGTGACCTAAGAATGGGGAGGGCATTTTACTAACATCTTAGCACCTAAGCCAATTAAAGCGGCACTGTCATGCCGAAACCCGTTTTTTTTTTAACCCCCCTCCCGCCTCCACTACATCCAATTGACCCACTAGTCACCCCCAAATGCCCCTAAGCCCCCCACATTACCTATTTTTTAATCCTTATTTTCTGCCCCGATCTTGATTCAGGGCGCCGCCATCTTTGTGTGGGTAGGTGAAGTCCCTCAGGGACACGTCATCAGCCCACACTAGGCAGACACTGAGATTCCCGCACATGCCCAGTGAAACACCTGGACATGCGAACGGGAATTTCATCTATTCATTCATTCATCAGACAGACGAATGAGTGAATAGAAAGATCAGCCGAACAAACAAACACAATGTATCAGTGTATCTGAGTATCAGTGTATGTTTGTTCGTGCAGTTTATTACAAGGAGGGAGCTACCGGCGTGCAGCTCCCTCCTTGTAATATGTAACTATAGAAGTGGCAGGGAGCAGTGCTCCCCACCACTTCATAAGCCCCCCAGTACCCCCTCTCACTCTATGGGGGTCAATATGACCCCCATAATAGCACAAGAGAGATTTAAATCTCCCAAATGCCCCTACTCACTATACCGCGAGTAGGGGCATGTCTACTAAACAGTGAGCAGCCTGTGGCTGCTCACTGTTGAAAAAAAAAGACGTAAATTACAATAAGGGGGGGCGGACCTATTGTCCTCCCCCCCTCCCCCACCCTGAGCGGCGGGTGGGGGCCATAAAGATAATAGGGGGGGGGGACCTACTGTCCTCACCCCCCCCGGCCCCCACCCCTGAGCGGTGGGTGGGGGCTAATGCGCTGGGGGACCTACTGTCCTCCCACAATACCCTGGTTGGGTGGGGGCCCTAATAAGCTGTAAGGGGGGACTGTCCTCCCCCACCCTGCGCGGTGGGTGGGGGGCTAATAAAACAATAAGGGGGACTGCTGTCCCTCCCCTGTCCTGGTGGGTGGGGAGCCCTAACCCTAAACAATAAGGGGGACTACCATGCTCCCCGGCCCTCGCGTTGGGTGGGGGCCCCAATCGCTAATGGGGGGATACTGTCCTCCCCATTCTGTGGGTGGGGCCCAGTAAGGCAATAAAGGGGGGACCTACTGTGCCACGGTGGGTGGGGGCTAATAAACAATAAAGAGTGCTGTCCTCCCCCAACCACCTAGGCGGTGGGTGGGGGCCCTAAATGGCTGCAATCAAGGTGACTAGGTTACAAGTCACCTTCCACCAAAAAACCTATCCCTACCTGCTTCCCTCACCCTACAAATAGTGAGGGAGGAATAAAATAACTAACCTGTAAAAAAAAAAAAATTAAACTTACCATTTGACGTCTTCTTTTTTCTAAAATCTTCTTTCTTCAGCCCCCAAAAAGGCCAAATAAAAATCCATTACACCCGTCGCAAAAAATAATCCATGTTCGCCCTTCGAGGGCACGCCGCATACTGAGCTCCGCAGGGCGGGTCAAGGCTTATAAAGCCTTGCCCCGCCCTGCAATTAGGCTTAGAACACTCTGATTGGTGGGTTTAAGCCAATCAGAGTGCTCTGAGTCAT